AAAGCAGATAAGGTTTGATTTGCTTGGAATTAAAAAATTGTGTGAATCACATAGTTTTGAACAGGGCAATTGTTACAATGAATATTAGAACAAGAATAGGGAAAGTAAACAGATGTGAGGTTATTCAGTATATCTCTAAGTATTTGTGAAGCTTTCAGCAAAATAGACAAAACATGGGGCCATAACACACATGATTATGTTTCTAACCTCTTAAATCAGATGGATTATATATCTGATAATAAGAAACTAAACTCAAAATTGATGACAAAAAATATAACTGAATTTCCCCTAATTATTCACTAGTTTAGCAATTCATGTGAACTTGAAACAAGATAACTCTCAATCTCTACTGGAATATATTCTACAAATTTAAAAAAACCATAAAAAATTTTGATTGGTTTGAGAAGTCATAGTTAAGTAGTATTATTAGTATTCTTTTGTATTTTTTGATTTTTTTCAGCTCTATTAAGATATAATTGCCAAAAAAGAATCACATGTACTTAAGGCATAGAACTTAATGTTTTGATAAGTGTATACAATATCAAATGATCACCAAATTTAAGGTCATTAATGCCTCCATCACTCAGAATATCAACATTTTTCTTCTTTGGTTTATTTTTGTGGTTAAAATATTTAATCTTCTTAGCATATTGCAAATATACAGTGTGGTTCTTTTAACAAGTATCAGGCATAAAATATAATCATCTTTATTATAGCTTCCATGCTGTACACTAGAATGCAGAAATCTTTTGTCTTCTGTGTCCAATCTTTCTAGCCTGTACCAATAACTACAAAGGACCAAAGCTACCTTTTATTCTTCCTGATTTCTTTCATTCTCCAGGCTCTGTTAACCCTTATTCTTCTGTGTACTTTAATAAGTTTGACTATTTCAAATTCTACATGTGACTTAATGCACTGACTTTCTGTGTCTGAGTTCTATGACTTATCATAATATCTTCCATGTTTACCTATTTCATAATAAATGACAGCTTATCTTTCTTATTTACTGGAGCTGCAAGATGGAAAAAAATGGCAGCTTGGCCAGAAACCAAGCACTTATAAGATAGAGACCACTTAAGCTCCTGCCATGGTTTTAAAAGAGATTTTGGGTGACTATGCAATGAGGATCATAAAGGGTGATGCAGAAAGCTGTGACAGTATAGCTGGAAGTAGAGCAGAGACCACAGAGATCTGGGAATGCCAGGAACATGGAATGATCTGCAAAAAACCTGCAGGCGATGTGTAGAGCCAGCTTAAGAGAGATGGCATGTGGGTGGCAACCAGCAAGGACACAAGAGCAGAGCAGCCCAAACCCTATGAAGACTACCTCTCACCAACATGTGCCCCAGAGGCTAGATTTGGAGGTGCAGATCTTAAAATTTGTCCTGCTGGATTCTTGTTCTGCTTTGGGTTTTTTCCTTTTATTCTGCCTATTCCTACCTTTGAGGATGAGAATGGTGGCTCTGGGACATTGTACATTGGAACGATTTAATTTTTTTAATTTTGAAGGGCCCATATCTAGCAATTTGCCTTGAGTCTCAGAGGAGATTTTGAACTGGGACCTTTTGGCAGTGCTAAAACTCTTAAAACTTGCAGCTCTTAGAGATGAACTAAATACACTTAATGAGGTAAACATAAACCTTATGGGGATTGGAGCAGATTGTTATGATTTAAAGCTACAATATCCTTCCCCAAACTTCATGTGCTTAGAGCTAGGGCTTGGTAAGATGGAGTGGTTTACTGGGTGAAACCTGGATGAGTGTGTTATTGTCCTTTACCCCTTCCTTCCCTCATCCTGCTTCTTGCCAGCCATGGGTTCAGCAACCTTCTTCAGCCAAGCCCTTTCATCATGCTTTTTCTTCCTGGAATTAGTTAACCATGAAATGAATTCTCAAAAATCATAAGTTCATTAAACTTCTGTATTCAACATTGTGAATGTTAATGATTTTGTCCAAGTGACAGCAAAGATGACTAATAGAACATGATACATTAAGGATAGATACTGCCTGAAGATATACTCCAGCTTTGGCAGCATTTCAGTTCTTAGAAACTCACTTGGTAATTTTAACCAGAAATAAATCCTTCCAAATATGTGCAGATTCACTCTATAGCTTTTTGTATTATTACTATTTTAATTAATTAGTTTTTTAGTGTATGGGAACAAATTCAAATGAAGTGCAGTGGCTCCTTGACTTACAAACTTGATCGCCTCCTGAGGGCTGGTTGTAACTCAACTTGGTTGTAAGTCAATGATGCACTGCACATTCTTTACTCTCTGTCCACACCTCTCATATGTTCTCCAAAGAACTCACAAATTTAGTGCTGTCCTGAGCTCCCAAGTGCACAAGTTGGACCTCAGGAGCCTCTAGGAGTCAATAGCAGGGAGTTCACATGGACTCCCGGCTCAGCATGCTTTAGTAGACCACAGAAAGTGTCCAGCAGGAGTCTGGACTCTGGGACATCTGGAGAGTGGGGGAAGGGATGGACCACCTGATGGGCACAGAACTTGGGGACCATTGTATGGCTCTGGGGTTGTGCCCACTGTGATGCTGCTCCACTGTCTCTTTTCTACCACAAGATCACATTGGTCACAGCCATTTCATGCCCCTTCCTCGTTCCAAGTCTTTTCCTTCAAGACCATAGTTGTGTTTCTCTCTGTCCCTAGGGCTCACTGGTGCTAATTCAGTGATCTCTAGAGCATGCCTTGCTTGGTGTCCTAATTTGAGGAACTCTAATCTGTGCATATCTCACTCTCTGGGCTCTGTCTCTTAGTGAGAAGACAGCTAGGACAGGTGGGCACAGGGGAGTGACTGCTCAGGTAGGTGCTAAATACAGCAGCCCAGCTGCAGCCCTCCTCCCAGAGGCACTGGAGGCTCCCCCAAGATGGCACTATCAAGCTGCAATCAGTAATGGAATTGGGAGCTGTCCAACTGCAGGCCTTCTGCCATGATGTGCTGAGCCCATCCCTTAGGAGACTAGACACTCCCCAAGATGGCATATACCAGAACTGAGCTAAAATCAGAGCTGCCTGACTGCCCAGCTAGACCTTGCATGTAGCAGTCCAGCTGTCAGTGCTCTACTCTGCCTCATCTCTTAGGGGTAGATGTTCCCCAAGACAGTGCTTTCACTGGACTTGACCTGTAAGCCAGGCTAGTGATCCTGAGCCACTGCACATTCAGTCTGATGCCTGAGCACCTCTACTGTACATGGCTTCTTCCCTTGGGGACCAGTTATTCTCCCAATGTGTCTTCTGCATCAGACTTGAGTGGCAAACAGTGTCAGGACACAGTGCCATTCCTACATTGCTCTCCAAGTACTGCTGGTACAGGTATCATACAGTTGACTTCTCCAGCAAATTGTTTTCCAATATTAGGGATTTTTATTTATGCTCTTTCTGAGTCACTGCAGATGCTGGTGAGCATCCACCCAGAGTCTGCACTGTACTGCTAGCTCCAATCTACTGTAGGGAACAGGGAAACAGGACATTACTAGAACCTCTGCACTAAGTCCTAGTCTCCTGTGAGCCATGACAGCACAAGGTGAATTACAGGAAATGTAGAAAAAAGAGACTTTGAGAAGAAGCTGAGCTTTGGGCCTGATCAGTGTGCTCTGGTCAGCAAAGACAAAAACCCCCAGCTTACCGCATCTTTTATACAGTACATAGGGAGAAACAAATGTAACAAATGACTTGCAGAGAGTTCAGCACATTGGCATAAACAAGATGTAACAGACAACTTGCAGAGAGTTCAGTACATTGGCATAAATAAGATGTAACAATCCAAGAACAATGAGGAACTGAGTAGATGAAGATTTCATTACTCCCAAGATGTCTTCAACTGGAGTAATCTTGTCCTGGAGAATCACAGGATCACTGGATCATTGAGGTCTCAGTTGTGACCAGAGGCCAAAATAGAATTATGTCTCAGAATTCCATAGCTGGGCTGTAGGCAGGAGAACTAGGCTAACCAAATGATTTTTCCCTAAAATTATGTAGCATTGCTCCTGAGAACCCACCATCATGGTTTTCCTACAGATCATCATTTTATGAACATATGACACCAAACAAAGTGCCTCTAAAGGACAAGTTACAGTATTTCCCCTTGGGAAAATAATGAGCTTTCAGTTGTTTTTCTATGGATCTCCTGTATTCATAAATATCATTTATACTTGTCTTTTTATGATTAATATTAAAAATAAGGTATTCTTTCCATTTACCATAGTGTAAATACCAAATAGTTTATCTGGTGTGAGAAACTGAAAGTGTAAGTAAGGATCAAAATGTATAATAGATAACGTGAAATAGGAAGAAAAGGTCCAAAAGGGAAGGGGAAGGAGGGGTAGAGGAAAGAAAAGAAGGGTAAGGAATAAATACAAGAAAAGGAAAAAACAGAAACCAAGTGTTTATAAATAGGGAAGGGTGGAAGGATTGAAGGCAGGGTGGGGGAATGGGGAATAAATGAGAACCAAGTTGTATCATGTAAAGGTACAAAAGGAGATTATGTAAAGGTGCAAATTTACAATGATGAATGTCATCCTACTATACAACTAAAATGTACCAATAAAATTAATAAATATACACTACAAATGCAAAAATATGTAGTTCAATCTGAATATAATATATTAATAGCTTTTGAACATGTGCAGAAAACAGAAACCTCATTTTTTTTATTATTTCAATATCTGTCATGCCAACTATTAATTCTTAAATGGAATAACTTTATGTAAGAAATGTAAAGAAATATTTTTCATTAAGGAAAAAAATGAAAATATTAATTATTGTGCACAAATATATTTACTCAGAAGCACGATTTTATACTAAAAAGTATATATGTTTTCTAACAAATTCTAGGAGTCTTTAAATGTATGTTGATTATTGGAAAAATTCACATGGTAAACATTTTCCATTGTGCACAGTTACTGAATCTAAGGGAAAATTGAAAATAATGGAAAAAGCACTCTGTAATTCCCCTAAAGAAGCAAAAGTCCATGGACATATAAGATACATCTGCTACCACATGTTTATTTCCTAGTCCAGATCCTTCTCATGGCATTTTTCATCTCTGCATTTCTCAGAGTATAGATGAAAGGGTTCAACATCGGGGTTATAACAGTGGAAAACACAGTCAAGAATTTATCAATAGGCAAAGTACAGGGAGGTCTCACATACATGAAAATGCAAGGAACAAAAAAGAGAACCACCACGGTGATGTGGGAGCCACAGGTGGACAAGGCCTTGCGCCTCCCTTCCTGACTCAGGTTCCTCAGGGAGTGCAGAATGATCCCATAGGAGATAAGCAAAAGGGAAAATATGACCACACAGATTGTGCCGTCATTGGCCATCACTGTGAGGCCAATAATGTAAGTGTCGGTGCAGGCGAGTTTCAGTAAGGGGTACATGTCACAGAGGAAGTGGTCGATGACATTGGGGCCACAGAAAGGAAGATTGTAAACAAAAAGAATGTGAAGTACAGCATGCACAAAACCCCCAACCCAGGCCAGCAGCAGTAGCGGCACACAAACACGTTGGTTCATGATGGTCAGATAATGCAGTGGTTTGCAGATGGCCACATAGCGGTCATAGGCCATGGCAACCAGGAGCAAAACCTCAGCACCACCAAATAAGTGACCTAGAAAAAGCTGTGTCATACAACCTTCAAAGGAAATGGTTTTCTTCTCATGGAGTAAGTCTAGCATCATGTGTAGGGTGGCTATGTTAGAATAAATGGCATCCATAAGTGATAAGTGGCCAAGAAAGAAGTACATTGGGGCATCCAAGGCTGGGCTGAGCACCACAGTCATGACAATGAGTAGGTTGCCTGACGTTGTCACCAGGTAGATCAGCAGGAACACAGCAAATAATATTTTCTGACCCTGGAGGCTCTGAGTGAGCCCCAAGAGCATGAACTCAGTCACATTGTTCCTTTGTTCCATATGTCCTTCTGCATGTCCTCTTATCACTGCTCAGAACAAAATTATCTGCAAAAAGAATTATTACCAATGACTTCAGAAATTTTAAGATAATTTGTTTATTCATTTCATTTATAGGCACTCTGATTTATTATGTTTCACTACTGTCAGAGATTATAAGAATGGAAGTTTGATTGAAGCATGGAGCTCAATCTTAGCCATTTTGTAGAGGAATGCTTTCAGAAATAAGTAATTGTGGTGGAAAGGACTGGTTATGACAGAAAAATGAGACTGCCACAGCCAGCTTTCTGTTAGGAAACTAAGGTATTTGCACATATAATTAACTGTCTATACAAAAATAAGGAAAATTAGATTTAATGTAAAAAAGGAAGATGTATTTTATATTTGCCTCAAGTTAATAAATGAGAGGTGATTTTCTACATTCTCATGTTAAGAAAATTTTTCTCAGTTAATAATATGTATCTCAGACATATTGCTACTTTCAATTTGCTGTTAACAATTAGGACTTCATACCCTGATTAAATACACAAAATTCTCTAGAGAATGGTACTACAACTTAGACAACAGGAAGAGTTACTATCTAAAATATATAAATGCTTTTAAGAAATTAATAAACAAATTACCAACTTACAGCAAAGTGGACAGATGGCTTAACCAGACAATGAAAGCAAAAGTATATCCACGTGACCAAAAAACATATGATAGGATGCTGCCATTCACCTGTAAGGGAAAAATGTTAAAGAAATCATACAGATATCACTTCATATGCATTGAGCTTTCAATGTGATAAAGCTTCAAAGGTGACATAAAATTTTTAAAGGTATTTTCTTCACTATGAATCATAACTTTTGGAACACAATTTGACAATCTCTATTGAAATAAAAATACCATTCATCACAATTGCATTCTTTGTAATCTAGTCCATGGAAATTAAAGTCATACATATGCACAATATGTTTGTGGCATTATTTTAATAGCATATTTAAATGTAGAATTTAAGGTGAATAATAAATGCTTGGACAGAATATAGAATCACTTAAAATAAAAAAGTCATTTATAAGAGCTAATTGAGGGCCAGGGATTTAGCTCAGTGGTTCGGCCACCAGGCTCACAAGTGCAAGGTCATGAGTTCAATCCCAGGAACCAAAAGAAAAAAGAAAAAAATGTAGCTGTATAAGAATTAATTGCAATTGTATCAACACTCAGTGAAATTTCCAAGAGTGATATGAAGCATAAAACTATGTATAATGGGATATTTTTATAAAACAAATATAAAGATACAGTATATCTATCCACATATTGATGTATGAGGCCATATGAGACTGGGGAATGTGGAAGTACTTATGTATTTTGTAAACCTGGAGTGCATTTGTGCTATTCAGGCAGGTATGATTACAGCTTGTGATTTATGCCTCAGTTGTGCTATTGACGGTTTGTACATGAAAGATTAAAATGACACAAGGAATACAATTGCAGAAGGAAGAGAGAGGAAGAAAGAAGAGAAGGAGGAGAGGAAGAGGAGGAGTAGAAGAAGGGAGAAGAAGAGGGAGAACAGGATACTGATAGCAGATAGAGAGGCAGAGGGAATTTTCACACAGAGAAAGAAAACTACACTATATGTGGAATCAATATTCATGGGCCCACTTACATTTTAAAACAATCCTAGTACTAACCATTACTTCTAAATCTCTGTTGATCTTTACTTCAATTTGACTTTAGAAATTCTTCCCTGCTTCCTCTTCCTAAACATGCTTTCCTGCCTTCCTCACTATAGCCCCTAACTCTGCTCTTAAAGATTTCATTCTCTCGATTACTCTTAACAATACTGCTCCAGTAACAGCCTCTCTACTTCCTATGGCATCAATTTTTCTTCCTGTATTGCATAATTCTGCCAATATACAAATGTGGGGCTATGGATAGGGGAAAGGAAAAAGATGAGAAAAAACCAAACAAAGTCTTTGTAAAGGGGAAAGGGTGGAGGGGTGAAAGGTAGGGCAGGGAAATGGGGAAAAATAAGAATCAAGTTACATCATGTAAAGGTACAAATTCCCAATGATAGATGTCATCATATTGTGTACCTAAGATGTACCAGTAAATTTAATGAATAAAAAAACTATATCCTTTGATAAAACATCAGTTTGAAACAAACACCCTACCCCACTTCTCAGCCCTTCTTATTCAAAGCTCTTCACTTTAAGTCCAGTTGTGAAGTTGAGTCCTCCTCGACTTCCCCACCATTCCTATGAACTGAAGTAATAACTTTCTTATTCACAACTTACCAGCAGCTCCCAGAAGCCACACATTCACCTTCTGCAGATGTAACCTCACTCTTGAATTTTTGACATCTAAACAATTCCTGGAAGATAACTTGGCTGATCCTGTGAAGAGACTTATAAATAACTGAAGCCTACAGATCTTGCAAATAGTAACACTTCTAATTTGTTTTTATGAACACTGATGCTAGAGGAATACATTTGATCTGGATATTTATAATATTAAAATACTCACGAAGAGTATTAAAGATTAGAGTCAATATACACATATTTTATCAATGGCAAAAGACCCTCTAACTATGAAATCATGTAGAATTTTTTAGTATATGAGTTCCTTCATATCCACTATGCTGTAATTGCACATGCAAAGCATAGTCCAGAATCCAACAAATAAATATGCTTGCTGAGTTACCTGCCTAAGGAGATAGTCAGTCCCTCTGAGTTCTGGGTTTTGGAGCTTTCTCCATGGCCCTACATATCATCCTCATGCATGGATGCTGATGCCTTCATTGAAAATAGAGACAGCAAAAGTACAGGAGCCCATTATTGCACCTCAAGATGTTCCCATTAACCAATTCTTTCCATATTTGCAGAAAGATGGATTCATCAGAATTTCAACAAAAATGTTATTTTTTCAATGCTGATTTTAAAAATTAACATCAAGAATATCTTGTAACTACAAGAAATCTGAATTGTGATTATAAACAAAGAAACCACAAATATTCATTGTTGGAAAACTTGTTCTAAATACAAACAAGTATTAAATAAACGTATTGAGGTAAAATAATGCATTTGGGGGGAAAATGGTTTCATGAAATATATATGCATTTGCAGTATGTGTTTTACACCTGCAAAAGTAAAATAATGAAATTGCCTTTAAAATATTGTTCATAACAGCCAAATACACTGGCCTGGCATCACTCATCATACTTGAATTTAAGGTTGACTGGGGATGGAGAAAAAAATTTAATGCCTACTCCATCATGATTTGAGTTTACCAATTCCTAAGAAAATAGTCATATGAATACTAGTATAAACAAACACTCTCTGAGGTTAGGGCAAGTCTGTGGACACTTTATCTGGACCATGATGCATATTGTTGTACTACTCCTTGACTGAATCTCCAAGGTGATATTTTCTATAATTAAATCCATTGGGACCTCAGCTTTCATTTTAAGCATATAGTATGCAGCCCCAGATTGCCAGCTGAAGAATAACTGTATAAAACACGATTTCCAGAGACATGCCCTCTGGGGGAGTATCATAACTCAACAACTTGAGGATAAATCATCAAAAAGGAAATAGTTTGGGCACAAATGAAATATCTGAAAACTCTCTTATTAAAATCATGACCTTTGCCAGTAAGGTAGGAGAGTAAGGGGGCTGAATGTGATCAAAGTATGAGTAATATACACATGTATGAAACTACTTCATAGAATCCCAGTAAAATTGATAGTAACTAATAAAAAAGAATATTTTTTAAAGGTCATGCCTTGTAAAATAGAGGAATTCAGTGAGTATATCATTTAACCTATGCACTTTCAGTTGCTATCAGGACACATAAGCAGAAATGAGGAAAAGAACAAGATTTCAAATGAGGAAAAGAACAAGATTTCAAATGAGGAAAAGAACAAATGATTTCAGAACAAGCCTCTGAAAACTTGATTCAAATCCCATAAAGTCTAGTTTTCCAGTAAGTAAAAATGTCTGACTGTTCCATAGTTTTAAGCAGACCAGTGGTTAGAATGCATATTAGATTAGGAATAGGGAAAGACAGATTAGATGAGAGATAATAATTATCAAACTATTCATGGGAGCTTCATGATATTACACAATAAATGAGACTTTGACATACCTACATGTATGAGTCAGAAGATCTAAATCATGAGGAATACATATCTGATAATAAGTAGCTCTCCTAGAGACTGGTGACAAAAATATAACTAAAGTTCCCCTATTATTTACAGCTTTGACTCTGTGAATCTGACACACAGACTGGTACACTAACAATTACTGAATTTTTAAAATGGTGAAAGCAATCAAAAACAGAAAAAGTGGTTTTTTAATTTTAATTTTATTTTATTAGTGTATGTTTGTGGTATATGAAGTTTACAAACATCTTGGGGAGTAGGTGCAGCACACAACACAGCTCATTTCTTTTTAATCCCCTTCTTGTGTGCACCTCCTTCCCCCATCTCTTGTTCCCTTTTCCCCATTTTCGTTCTTATTGTTATTATATAAGGACTAAAAAAACTGACAAACACTTAGTTAAACTAATTAAGGAATAAGTAGAAAATGTAAATAAATTAAACTGGAATGTTAAAAACAGATTATTATAAAAGTCTTCCAAATGATAAAGATCATATGGGATTATCTGAATAAAAGTATATGCCAGCAAAATGACATATATCTATAACACCACAGAAATCGATAAAGTATTAGAAACATACTAGCAAACATACTGAATCCAAATGGAGCAATTCCTAAGCACCCCACAATGCGGAAGAAGATAGAATCAGCGGTCAACAACTTCACAAGAAAGAGGTCAAAGAACAGATATTCAACAGGGACTGCTGTGCACTGTGGAAATCATATCATACTGAAAAATGAAAAGAAGTCATAAATTTCCTACATTCCAACAAAAGACACCTGCAAACTAAAAGTTCTCATTTTAGAGAAACAAGATGAAAATCAAATTGCAAAAGATTAAATTTTTTAAAATTGCAGATATACATAAATAAAACATAGTGGACTACTAACCATAAAAGGAAGAATTGTTAAATATAAAGACTGACTTTCTCAGTTAAACCTCAAAAATTAAAACTCTTTCTAAATAATCCTTTTAAATGAAATCCCATTGAAATAATATTGAAAGAGTTTATGAGACCAGCTCATTATAATTTAAATTAAAGCATGCAAGAATGAGATAAAGACAAATGAATAGTACTGAATATATTAAACATGAAAAAATATTTTATATCAAAAGCAATCTCATACCTTCCATGTTAATTAGCAGTAGAAAAGACATCTATGGACTCGTGAGGTGGATTTAAACACGTGGGCTTTTGGAATGTGATGAAATCAGGATTTCAAAACAGTGGGATTATTATGCCTTATAAAAATGTCCATTGATTAAAAATTGGTATCCAATCCATTTCTAAACTCCTGATATCAAGACAAACTCCAGGAGGAGCGGACTGGTGAGGAGCTGAACTGTGTGGAGCTGAGATGCATGCCCCCATCCCACCTCAGGCCTCCCAGCGAGGAGCAGAGCCCCATGGGCACCTGCAGCACTACCCCAGACTTCCTGCAGACCACCCACCTCTGGTCTCCGGGCTGTGCACGTAACTGAGTCCACACACCAGAAGCACATGGACAAGGCCATTGTCCTGAGCTCCAGAAGATAGAGAAGAAGTGAACAACAGAAAGAGGGCTTCTCTCAGGCTC